AGGGAAAGATTTTGCACACGTGTAGTTGTACAGCAGATTTCATTCTCTGTTTTCCTCTGACTGTCAGTTGTATGTCATGTTGGGTTTTTTTCCTTGACCAGTGGGGTGACATCTGATTTCCATTTTATTTTTTTAAAGGAATGGCCGTTGGAGGTCAGAATGGAAATTTACAATCACCCCTTCAACCACTCAAGTGGCTGGCATCTTGAAAATTCAGGTATGCTTATCTCAAACTGTGTCCTGATCAGTAAAGTCACTATTTGTTATCAAGGGAGGTACTTGCCTAATCCTTACAAAGTATGTGTTTGATGTAAGGTTTCAGAAGACTTCAGAAGGTGTATGTATTCACCTCGGCTAGGCACGTACTTCTTTGATTTCTTGAATTCTTGGTGGCATGAGTCTTTCCTGAGGGAAGGCCCTTTCTGAAGTAGATTTGGTTTTTTTAATTATTTTTAAATTACAATAGCAGTATTTTTTCATGTTGCCCACCCTGTTGTTCAGAAAGGTAAGAAACTTTGGTTTCAGTCATTCCACCATTTGCATTTTTTTAATCTGTATCTTCTTCATTCAGAATTTGCCCTTCTTGTTGGCTTCAGGGCATTAAGAAAGGAGATGTTGTCCAAGCAGGAGTGCAGAAATCTTGAGACCAGAGGAAGTCTGACTGTCATGTTGTGGGCAGGGGAACTTGACTTCCTGCATTGGTTCTCTGGAATGTGTACACATATTTTGCCGGAGTTTATTAAAACAATTCTGGGATCAGGGACTAGTGTCTTAGTGCAGTCTGGCTTTCAGTGTAGGACTTTACTATTGCTTTACAAGACACATGAGTAACCACATGAGTTTGGCACTTTCTTACTGCTCAGTGACTTAACTTCAGAAGGAAGATGCAATGGAATGTTTTTATAGCCATAGCCTTAGATTAAAGAATTTTAGGATTTGGTAGATGTGTCCAGATCCACCCAAGCAGGGGGCCCAAATCTAATTTCCTATTCTGTGGTAAATTCTGTAGCAACTGGAAGGCTTGTCAAAATGTGGACATCCATTATTATATTGTCAGATCAAGATGGTTTCAGTAAGAACCCTAAATAACTTCAAGGATTCTTGAGACTTTGGGAGAATCTCAGTAAATTGTCATTTAAATGTTGCTTGCAGCAAAATAGGAATTTTTTGTTAAATGTCTTAAGAGATTTTCTATATCAAGCAGGCAAGTGTCTGCCCAATTCTAGGAAAGGTTAGCCCAGTACCCTAGAAAATACCCTGAATAGGGAATTTAATAAGGTTTTAATTGGCATCTAAATTTGGGCAGCAGCTGATTTAGTCTTTTGTTACTATTTCACATAATTAATTAAGACATTATTTATTTTCATTAAAGTCTGTGTTTTGGGGAGTGATGAAAAGTTTCACATCTTTTGCTTTTATAGGAACTACCTGTTTCACCAAGGAATTTTGAAATCAGGTTCAAATTTTTAGAAATTGTGTACAACTTCTTCAGGGTATGTGAGGGTACTCCCCCTGTCCAAGGATACAAACAAAAGTGCTTCAATGTTTTTTAAGGAGCAAAATAATTTTTTGAATAGGAGCTCACTACAATATTAGTGAAATTTCAGAGTACTGGAGTTTCAGTGTTATTTGCAGAATCTTTATGACAGTAATAGGGCCATTAACCTGTTTCTGATAAGGTCTTTTATGAATAGGTTGGGAAAATTCCAGCATCACCTGCTGTCTTCAGGTGTCTTCATTTTTTAAGATCACTTGCACAATTTCTTCCTTTTTCTAATTCTAGTAATAGATTCTAATATAGGAGAGTCTCAACAGTCTTAATCTCTTCCATTGTTTTAATTTTCTTTTAATTGTATGTAAGGGGAAAACTTCAGCAGCAGAGTCTTAGTAAAACTGAGTCCCTGTGATGTTTGACATGCTCCAACTGTGCATGGAAAACAACTGATAAGTGTACTGGTTACTCATTTTATCTCTTAGATAACCTGTTATTGTCATCCCTCCTTGGTTAACCTTTCCAAGAGATTCTGTTCATAAACATCATCCTTCTTGTAGTCTTCTGGACCCAGACCTAGCATTCTTGAAGGATGTCAGCAGCGAGGTGTAGTACAGAACAGTTAGTTCTCATATTTTGTATAAGATATAACACATCCTAGAATTAGATATGACTCTTCATCTCTATGAAGTTTTTAGGCCTGAGTCTGTGCCAAGAATGTGACTCTGAGACAGGTAAGATGTTCTTACTGATGTTAGCCTCAGAGATCAGGGAAGGCTTGAGCCCTTTGCAGTGTATTGTGACAAAGAAGGGAGGACATTTATACTTCAGAGTGCTGTTTCATTGGAAGGTCTGAGAATTTGGCACTGAGTAAGCATTATTCGTCTTTTAGGAACTGGATTGAAAAAGGTTGGCACACATTTCACCCAGTAATGTTTGATTTGAAAAGGCACTTATTTTATGGTTAGCATAATACCTTTTGTTGGGGAAAAAAAAAGTATTTGAGAATAAGCAAAGTAATAATGTAAAGTGAATCATAGGAAATAGTTTTTCTCCTATAGGAACCTTTCTTTTGCCTAGGTACAGCTATCTTACTGTGTGTCATGCTTTCTCTATTGTTTATAAAATTTAGGTTCTCTTGCACAAATCATAATGATAATATGATTAAATTGTAGTATTGTGCATTAATCTCCAAATTAAAATGTTATTTTGCCTAATTAGATGAGAGACAAATGCCTCAATTCCTCATAACATCAGCCATGTTAACTAGCAAAATTGTAAAAAATCTCTTAAACCATTTGTTTAGAAGTCAGTGAGCTGCATAACTCTTCTGTATCAGTTATTGTGAATGATTAAATGTAACTTTATATATGCTTCCTATTTTTTAGGTTTCCCAAAAGTTGCCCTAGAAACTAAATGTTTTCAGATCCTTTCTAACTGAATTTAAAAACTTGAGTTTTACTGGTCTCCTGCAAAATAATCAAGGAAACTGTTCTGTAGATACAACATTTCAGGAGTAAATAGATTTAATTCCTCTTTGCTGTCTAACGTTGGCAAACGTTTTCCCCAAAAGCTCCTTTGTTTAATTAAATGCCAGCTTCTGTTATGGGCCATATCTAAGAAAGAAAGATATCAAAACCAGGCACACTTAGAAAGGGAAGCCTAATGTTGCACGTCCCTAGAAAACAGATTAGGTGAAGCAAAAACCAACTGAACAGTATCCTGAAGCCTTGCCAAAGCTATACTGATTTTAAATATATCTTCAGCGTTTCAAGAGTTGCTAGTAAGGTCACATAAGTATTATGTTATCTTCTTCATGATGTTAATAAAAGCCTTGGTTCAGTGGTGGGCTCAGCAGTGTTAGGTTTATGGTTGGACTTGATGATCTTAAAGGTCTTTTCCAACCTAAATGATTCTGTGGTTCTATGATCCTCAACTTCTTCACATGAGAATGCTTCACATGCTTAAGGCACATACATCAACACAAAAATGTTTCCGAGTAACTTCTTTACCATTCCCCCTCAAAAATATTTAAATACTGTAACATTTTGGTTTTCCAATTTGTTTTTGTTGTTCTGTAAAATTTTATTTGGTTTAGTTTGATTCATATAGTTTTTTTATTATAATAAATACTACAATACTTGACTTTTCTATGTTGTCTGTAATAGTTAATATGAAGTTCTTTGTTTCATTTTCTGTAGGTTCACTATTATGAAGATGGTAATGTTCAGCTGGTGAGCCATAAAGACATACAAGATTCTCTAACAGTGTCTGTAAGTTAACTTTAAAGATCCTTAGAGTGTGTATTGAAGTGACTTTTTGATTTAAAAAGATAAACAAGCTTAAAAAAACCTCAGAATTTTGGAGGCTCATTTGAATGGGAATTACTGTTCAAATGCATAAATATTTTGTATGTAATACATACAACTTTTATCTAACATGTAGTTACTGTTTCTGTTTTTATTTTAAAAAGTAAACAAGTTGAAATTAATGTAATTAATGCGTTTGGTTTGTATAAGGTCAATTAACTTTGTTTGTAAAGCTTTAATTAGCTGGCTGTTGGTCTTTCTGCACTTCTGTATTTAAACTTTGGTCTGCAGAGTGACGTATAAAATTAATCTTTTAATATGAAGGAGGTTTGAGTTATAATAACCCACTTAAGTAGTACAGTGTCTAGGAGATTGCCTCCTTTGCTCACTGGGAGAAGAGCAGTATGCTAAAAATAGTAAACAAATGCTACCAGCTGAGAAGTAGTAGTGGGTATTCTCCCTTCATTTCCGCCCTGTCTGTAACTGGTGCTGTCAGCCTCTTGCTTTTCTGTACAAAAAGCCCTTTCAGAGATGCTTCAGCTTAAAAAGCATAACACAGTTCATATTACAACTTCTTTTGAAATGGATCATTATAGTAACAGGGAGCAGACAGTAGAAATTATTTCTTTTTTTAAATAGTACCAGATCTACCTTTTTAGAGTTGGTAATGCTGCAACATAAACTACTACTACTTTTGAAATAATTCTCCTCTTGCCTACTAGAGATTGTGTTTATGAGCACTAAGATTTTCTTTTACAGTGTTCTGTACTAAAGCTTAAGCCAGTGCAGTTAAATTGGCAAAGGGAAATTGTAAAAGTGAACAGTAGAAGTATTTTAATGATAATGACTGGTAGTGACCCATTTGGCTCAAAAGCTTAATTCATCAATAAGCAACACTGTTCGTTAATATAAAGCAAGGCTTGTTGTCTTTTTGGTTGCAATAGTACCATAAAGAATGGAGGAGTGTGGTGCCAACTGATAACACTTTTGGAGCTGTAGATATAAAATTACTTTTGACCCCCTAAGCAAAAGAGCTGTTTAGTCTTTTATGCAACTAAGAGTTGGTTTGGAGAGGATTATGTGGAAGAAGTTCTCCTTTCAGTAGGTTGTGCTTCACTTTCTGTTGGGAAGAAACTTAATCCTGTTCTGCTATTTAGTAAAGCAGCAGAAGAACCTTGAGTAGAAAAACATCTTTTAGATAACTTTCCTACCTCCTGCTAAAACAAAGGCAGGTATGCTGCTGGATACCAATTTTTAGCTTTGCTGTTGAGCTTCATAGAGGGCAGAGGCTATACAGGTTCTTATTTCAGACAGAAAAAAGGGTAGGTGGGTTAAAAGGAGCCCACACAACTCCTTTTTTGTTGTTTGGCAGAGAAGCAATTTTGTGCCATCAATGAGCACCACAGGAATAAATGACTGAAGAGCTCTCTTACTGCTAGAGCTATGAATAATTTTGCTGAAGATTACTTTCTTAGCTCTAGTTTCTCTCTGAGCCAAATAAGACCTCATACCCTTGAATTCTTCCATTCATTAGTAGAGCCTTTGAAATAATTGCCTCAGTTCACTGAAAAGTCAAAACCTTTTCAGTTGTTCTGCTTGGTCTCTACCTTCTTCATCTCTTTCTGTTGTGTCCAGGAGTGCTTTCACAGTTGATAGCTACAACTTACTTGAAACTTTGAACCAGATTTAGTTGCAGCTGCCATAGCTTTCTCCCAGCCTTTGCCTTTGTAGGAATGAGGGATCACGTGGGGCAAGAATACTCCTATCTTTCAACAGCTTCTCCAGAAGCACCCTTGTGAATGTCTCCAACACCAAATTGGAAGCTTTGAAATTCATGAACCCTCATTTCCTTCTTGAGATTTCTTTCAAGCCCTTCAACTAATTAGTCTCCAGGTTGACTGACAGGTCATTTTTTGTTTATAAAATAAACACACACTTGCATACTTACGAGTAAGACCCAAAGCCAAGAAATTTTTTTATCAGTCATGATGAAATTTGGACATTGCAGTGTGTTGCACCCTCATTTTTGCAAAATGTACTTGGAGATGTTGTTAGAGGATCAGGTATATAAAGTGTTTGTATCAGCTTACTCTCCAGAATCAGCATGTTTAGAAGTGAAGAAATACGGGGTTGTTTTTTCTTTTTGTTTCTATGTTGTATTCTGCATGTTTCTGGGTTAGCTGATGTTCTTTAAGTTTTCCTGGAGATGTAATACTGCTAAATGTTAATATCTATGCTTTGCACATTTTCAGAGATGTGTGTGCGTTGTCATACTTCCAGATGCAGTTGCTTCGTATACCTTTTCATCATACCATAGAATTTTATATAAAAATATTTTAATTAGCTTCGTGGTAATCTTTATGCTTGTCGCAGTTGACCTGTTTTTTATAAATGTATAATAATAATGTGAAATATGCCTTTTGGATGCATGTATCATTCAGTTTTGGTTTAGCCACTAAATGGCCATGTGTTCTCATTAAATGAACGTGGCATCTCTCATAACTATAGAAAAGAAACAATCCAGCTGCTCTTGGAAGTGTGCTGTACAGCAGATCTAATTCAAGTGCTCTTTTCCTAGAATGAAGCCCAGACAGCAAAGGAATTTATAAAAATCGTAGAGGCTGCAGAGAATGAGTATCAGGTATGTTGAAAGCAAATACTACCCTTACTCACATGTATAGCATTACCATGTTCTTAGCCAAAGATAGTATTCTACAAAGCTTAAGGTTTTGATATCAAGATAATGCGGTTCCATACAAATATAAATAGGTTACATGCTGCTATTTACTGTATCCTTCCTTCCCATGCCTTCTGGTGGCTGCACTCAGCTACTATACATTACATTAGAAGAGTTTTTTCGAGAGCAACGAAGTCCCAAGTGTGAACAAGTATTGGCAATTCTGTTCTCTTTTAGTATTAACGCATTCCTTAAGTGGAATTTTTTACAGATTCTGTTCAGAGGCTACTCTGTTAGACAGCTTTGCTACATATGACTATAAGCACTATCCATTACAATTAGTAATTTTAAAGTTATAACAGTATTGCTGTTCTAGTTATACAGTGTCTCATTGGATTTGTGTTCATTTAGGCTTTGAACATAAAGTAAATGTCAGACATGTTCTGTCATTTTTTTTTTTTAAATGCTCATCAATAAAAATTTACCAAGTGTGTATCGTATCATTATATTCAAGTTCATATGATGTAGGCGGCTGACTCTACCATCCCCACAGGAAAAACAGTGGAAGACTTTGGTATCTGAAATTAATGATGTGCAAGCTAACTCTGATCAGCACTTCATTTCTGCTGCTGATTAACCACATGTATTTTGCTGAAACACCTGGGCTCCAGCCAGATTTATTGCATCTCTCTCACTAATTTTTCTTCACATAATTTCAATCTGGATCTCAAAGCTTTCCTTCAAAAAATAATGTTTTAATCTAGCACCTTTTTATTAAGCCTGTTTGAGAGGTAACAAACTACTCAATCAGTTAACTTTTTACATAGCACGCTGGTTCTGTCCTTCACGTGCCTTTGTTTTGTGTGACTCTGTGTTTCCCAGACTGCTATCAGTGAGAATTACCAGACTATGTCGGACACTACTTTCAAGGCCTTACGTCGACAGTTGCCAGTTACCCGCACCAAGATTGACTGGAACAAGATCCTTAGCTATAAGATTGGAAAAGAGATGCAGAATGCTTAAAGTGAACATTGCATGACTGGATCATTTTAGTGTCCTTGTATACAAATAAAAATTATTACAAAAAGTATTCGGAACTGTCAAAATCACCCAGTCAGCATGGGCTTTTGCCATTGAAAATCACTGTAAGTAGTTAGAGCACAAAGCTTAGCTAATTGACTTTTTTCCTTTTCCTTTCTTTTCAGAGGATTGCAACTTCAGTATAGCTGAATATCTTCCTTTAGAGTTTCTGTTGTACCTTTATTTTTTTATAATGAAGAGACCATGCCTTTAGTTTTCACTTACACTTTAAGAAACAGTTTAAAAAATATTTTTGCATATGATAACCCTTTCTCTTGCTTTCATGTGAAGTGGACAACTTCCAAAATTTGCTGGATTCCTTGTGGAGATCAGTAATGTGAATTTGTAGGTCAAGGTCAACATGGAGTTAGCTATAGGTGCTGTTTTTGAAATCATCTATTCTTTCATCATATGTAAAATTGGGAAGAGTATTTTCTGTATCATTAAAACCTTTCGGAATACTTATTTAACTAGCTCCATGGTAACAAGTTTTGTGTTTTGTTTTTTTTTAAGGAAAAGGCCAAGGTCTAATGCTGTTTTAAGATTCTGAGATTAAATAAAAGTACTTATTTCAGAAATGCATTTAATGCTTTGTTCCTGACAATTACTTAGGTGAACTTAAACTCCATCTGCCCTTGAGGTTTTTATCATAAAACCAGAAATGTATTATAACAAGGCATATTGTAATATATATAATCCTGTACTCATTACTATGTCTGTCAGTTTATTTTTTCTTGGATTGAAATGTACTAAAATTCAATGTGACATTAAAATGCAAATTTTCTATTTATTTGAGTATCAGATTGCTTCATGATAAAGCCTATTTTTGGTGTATGTATATATTTTTAAAATACTGCTTAAAACAGCCACAAACTCGTGGCCTATTGGCTATTCTCAGTGCATTTGAATATTGTTAAATCATCATCATCCATTGTTTCTCTGTGCATTTAAGAAACATCTACATATGGAATTCAACTTTAAACAAGTTATTTTTAGCTTTATATTGGCTAAAGAGGATAGAAAAAATTACAAGACCACAACCAACACGTTATCTGGAGAATACTTTCCCTGTTTGATATATCACATTGAAAATGGACATCAGGTATTTAAAAACATAGACTTCATTACAAATGCACTATAACATTTCTATAAAATGCAGATTTCATTTTTAATTAGATTAAAACCTGTTTTAAAATATACAAATTAGTTATATGCCTATTATGGGAAAAATCAACAGCTTTTTCTTTTTCTTAGAAGGCAGGTGTTTTTGCACACTCCTAAACCAGTGAAGCTTACACAAAGGTTTTATATCTTTGTTAATTACCTTAATGTTAAGTTACAGCATAGCAAGAGAGAGTCTTTACTTGTACTGCATATAAAAATGTACACACAAATGTACTACACAAAGTAGTTTAGTGTTTGAATTGTAATAGCAATACCTCTATCTTCTGTTCTTCAGTGCTCTTTTACAAGGGGGTATAGAATTAACTGAAGTTCTTGAAACTGCTGCTACTTTACAGTGCTAAACTGTATAGTAGAAGAGTGGTATTTCTTCTACCACAGTCTTCCTGGAGAGTTGCCCTATTAATTGTCTTCTTAGATTAGCTATTGAACCATGTTGTTCTATAAGAAGATTTAAAAAATCTGTAAGTGAGCTAGTAACACATACTGGGTCACTGTCAAGTCAGTCTGTCAATCTTAAGTTCTAAATACAAATCTTGTTTGAAGAATTTCTTTGACATATTTAAGAAGAAGCTAAAAATAAAAGACAGTGCACAAAGAGTTAGGAGAACTGTTAGTGAGCAACAACCATACAAATAACTTTTCTAGCTGTTAGAATATTGCATATGACCAGAATCAGCACTGGCTAAAAGTCAGAAGGCTATTTTTCTTACCTGAAATAAAAAGCTAGTTTTAAATATATTCCTAATAAAGAGGTATTTTACTGTGAAGTACTCTAGTACTGTGTTTCCCCATCTATTCAGTCCTGTGATAGTCTTAATCCCTTTTCTTCGAAGAATAGCATCCTACAGGTTCATTTCAACCAGTAGGTAGATCTGTATTACTTACATTTTTTCCTGTTGTGTTAATTTTTAGTCTGTGAAAGAATTTCACACCTTGAACATCACATTTATTAAGTTATAACTTCAATAAAGGAATTTATAAGTAAATCAACTATTCTGTTAACTTTTCCAATATGGTATGTTGTATCATATTTAGGGGTAATGACTCCCCAAATGAAGCTGACTTGAGTATCAGCAGAGACATGTGGCACATTTGGAGTTCTTAATTTCTCTCAGCATTTGGGATGTCACTTGCTCTTTTTTTTTTTTCTACCCTTTTTCCTTTTGTATTTGAGACCTTTAGGGCTGGCTTGGTACGCTTTAGGGTATTTTGTGTAGGTAAAGCACCTTCTCTGAGAAATTTTGTTGTGGCAATTGTCTTAATGTGAATTACTATTTGTTTATATTCTATTTTTAAATATAAAGATTTGTATTGTGGAATGTTCGTGTACTAGACATTATGGCTTGTAATATGGACTTGTAAAATGCTTGCATTTATGAAGTGTGTAATGACTTATACATCTCAGTGCTCCTTTATACGAAGGAAATTTTGACTTATGCAAGTAAGCAATTATTCTTTCTGAACATCTTTAATGGGAGTGACATTTCTGCTTTCAGTTCCTTCTGAGTATGCCCTTTTCTATATGTCTATTTTAATTAATTCTGCAAGTAGAAAATAATTGTTATTTTGATTATATCACTACTGCTGCTTATGCTCTACATGCAAAGGCAATTCTACTGGCTGGTTCAGTTGGGAACACTGCAGTGCAGTTCATTAGTAAATGGTCATTCAGCCCATGGTTAGAAGTATTGTGTGACACTGAAAATCCAATACCTGTGTTCTTTTTAGAGGATGACTCCAGCCACATCTCTGGCAGTGATGTAGTTTATGCAGTTTGGGAGTAAATGCCTTTTTCATCCCCACTTGCCACATACTGGTTTTGCTGAAAAAGCAGTTTTGATGCTCTTGAGTTCACTTTCTTTGGTAGAAATCTGAACTGGGAACTGTCCTGGGTGTGTACCAAATGGCCTTCAGCTCATAATGGTGACCTGAGTCCATTGCAGTGGTTTCCTTCAGACAGCTTGCAACCATGTAATGCATTGAGTATATCTGGAGGATCAGACTAAACTTGACTTTCAAATTTCCAGACGGTATGTGCTGTAGGTGTAGAGGCTGATCATCAGCCGTTGGATTCTGTGGACTCACTGCTACTGTACCGAATTACTTGCTGACACAGACATAGCTTCTGCCACATTCGTTTACTGGAAAGATTGAAAGTGTTCTTCCTCTGATATAACTGTAAACTAGGTTTAGATTAAACTTAGTTTGTTCATAACCTTGAAGTGTCAATTTTTGTGTGACGGTGTCAACTCTAAACTTTTTTTTTTAAAATACTTTTTTCCCACAGCCTAATACTTGATAGGTTTTCTTACTAGAGATATTTTTCTTTGCTACTGTGACTTGCTTACCTGTAACAGGTATTGTTCAGCATGATATTTTCCATGTGCTCATCACAAGAGAGGATAAGGGTGATAACTGTTGTCTTAAAAGATTCTTATTCTGTAAACATGTTTAGACTTTTTTGTGCAGCTTTTCCTTGTGAAACAGTAAAGCTGTGCAGGGACAAACCTGTTGGGTTTTTTCTCTTTAGTCAGGGGGGCCATGTAGAGACTTTAGCCTGACCAGCTGTAGCTTGAAATAACTTCAGATCTGGAACAATTTGCAGCTTACAGGGTTGTAAACATGCCTGTTAAAGTAGTTTTTGGTCGGTTGGTTTGAGGGGAACATCACCACATTGGCCCCAAAGGGCCAGTCATACAGCAGGGCCCCAAATATCATCCCTGGGATTTGGGGTGCCATCATGCTGCCTTTTCCAAGGTGCAAGGCAGTAAGTCCATTTACAATGCAAGGTGTGTCAGTAAGATTATAAGAGCTACAAGAATGTGGACTGTAATAGTTTTCCTTAATGAAGAAGGGTGCCTGTGTTTCCACTTGACCAAGTCTTCTGTTCAGTCTGGAAAGCGGGAGCCTGATGCTGCAGCTCTGAGGAAAGGATCGGTTAAGTTAAAGTTGCACTCCAGGAGCATAGGTCTGCTGGAGTCTGGCAGAGCACTCACAGCAGGAGTCTTGGGTACACAGTACCTGAGAGTTGCAGCCTCTGCCACCAGCCTCTCTGGGTACACCTGCTGCTCCTGATCCCATGCCTTGCAGATGGCAGTGATGTGCTTCAAGTGTTGCTCCAGCAGTTCTTCCCATCCCAGCACAGTCTGTTTTAACCCAGTCAAAACTGAGGATGCTGCCCCAAATGCTTCTGTGGACCTTCTGTTAGTAACCTGCTATTTGTATAGTCACCTGGCACTTCTTTCTTCTGTCTGTTGCAGAAATAACTTCCACATCATTTGGAAATTAAGGAAGGAGGCTTGAAAAAGGAGTAAGCTGATTATGAAATAAATCAATATTCAAGAGAGAACTGTTTTGGTTTAATTTATCTTCAACTTTACTGTGAGCTAAGCCTTTACTTAAGGCTAATATATGCATAAGCAACTGGAGTAGAAGTCTGAGCTTTGAAGACTCATTAGCAGTTTTAAACGAGTAGCAGGAAGAAAAATCTGCTGCTTTTTTTCCTTTTACTTGATGCTGCATTGTCAAGCCAGCTTTCAGATGCTGTAAAACTGGTAAGCTTTGTGAGTCTTTTACTTCATTGTAAAAATAGGAACATGAGATAGCAAATACTTGATTGGACAAAAAATGGTTGTGGTTATAAGACTCCCAAGTGCAGATATTTGCTAAAAAGATTTCTGAACAATAGTTGCGTCAGGAATCTTAAAATCCTTGAATGGAAAGAAAAAGCTCATTTTTTTTAATTCCACAGTGTGGCAGGATCAGCTGCATCTCAACTGTACATGGCAGGAAACAGACTTGTCTGTTGTGAAATTCTTAATTACAAATATTTTCCTTCCTCTCTGAGTTATCGTAGGGCTTTGGAGTTAGTATTAAGGTAGATCTTAGGAAAAGTTGAATCTTCCTTGCTGGATCTCAACCTCTTTTTATCCTAGCTGTGAACATACAGAACAGCTCATTCCCATTTTCTTTGCAACACATTTTAGGTATTTGAAGAGCATCTCCAGGCTCTGTAGCTTTTGGGCTAAAGACAATTCAGCAACTCTAATTTCAACATGAAAGCCAAACCTTTAAGTAATTTTTCTACATCCTGCTATTTTGGGTTTGGTTCATTTTGAGATGGAGGTAATTTTTTTTTCCCTCTACATATTGTTCATTTCATCCTGGTGATGTTACAGGCTATCATGATACTAACATAGTACTTGGATTTCCTTTTGCTAGATTCTGGCCTTGAATGGTACAGTGTTCTCTAACATTGTCCTATCAGCAGTTAAGAGTTCTGCTATATTTTTAAAGCCCATTAAAGAGGGGGAAAAAAAGATAAAACCAACCACTGCTGGGTATGTGTGCCTTATGTTTTCTCTACTGAAAGTAGGCACGGAGTGTACAAAAATGAGACTGGTATCGTGGACTAGCCAGCAAATGGATTCTGAGCTCAGAGCATCCTGTAATGAAGAGTCAAGGGCTGCTGTGGACTTGTCCAGAGGGATGAGCTGGATCCTTGTTATCTGGGATATTTGTGCCAACAGCAGGCACTTTGTTTAGCAGTACCTTGTAGACATTGATGTCAGTCAAAATCGAGGAGGTGAAATGTGCCACCCTCTC